GTATATTTTCAAATTTGAGGAGTGTTAGGAATATTTATTTGTATCTGGTAACAAAGGTGCTAGTAGTTTTTATTATTTTGGTAGTAATAAACTACTTTTTCAAAATAGGTATAATAATCTCTATTTTGCGCATTTTTCTGATCTTACGTAAGAACTATTAAGACACCCTCCCTACCCCCTTGTAAGACAAAGACATGGTCAATCCCTCTTCCCCTACATCCAGGGCCGGATTTAGAGGTCCAGAGACCTCGGGGCAACAGAGGAGCGGAGGTCCCCAAATTATTTTCCAAATAAAGTAAACATTTTTTTTTTCAGTCGAGTTTTTCAATAAATAATTTATTGTGATAAAATATCAAAGGAAAAGATGTTTACTAGTGTTTACTAGTTGGAATTTGAAAATTTTTTTTTTCGAAGTCTCTATTGTGGGGGGGCCCCCATTTGTGGAGGCCCCGGGGCTTCCGCCTAAATCCGGCAGTGCCTACATCGACTTACGTAATAAATGATCCCCTAACCACCCGCGCCATCGGGCTCCTATATAGTAATGGCGATGGCGTGAGTTTTGTTCGGATAAGTCATAAAAGTGCTAATGACCGCTGGAGATAATTAAAACTGATAACTTTATTTTGGTCACCCATGAAATAATGGGCTTTTGTGTTAGTCGCTTAGTATATATATTGTTTAAATCGACATTGGAAAGGCAAAATCGCTTATACGCCACTTTGGTCGAAAATTAGTTATTTATAATCATTTGAATCCCTTTACACTTCTTGAAAGAAATAAATAGAACTAAAAAAATAACTATAACTGCTATTTCTTCTTTCAAATGTTTAATACTTGAAAAAGTATTCATTTGACATTGTGGGTTACCTACAATGCGAAGAGATGGCGCTGCCTTGTAGCTTAAGGCTGGGAAAATTTCGACGCGGCCATCAGGGCCGTGGTAGAATAATTGGTCAGTGCATTCGACCGGATTGCGAAGGGTGCGGGTTCGAGTACCGTCCACTGCCTGGTCCGCGTGGATTTTTTTCTAGTAAAACTTTTCTTTAGATTTAAACATCTAGCAGTTAAATGCTTAAAAACATAAAAAAAATAAGAAATAAATAGATTACTATTAATATTGTTATTTGAATCAGATTTCTGCGCCGATCTGTTTATATTTCGCGAAGATTTACTTATTTGGCGCTTAAGCAACTTAATTTTTTTTATGATTTTTATTGTTCACAACGCTGAAGAGATATGGATTTTGGTGTTTTATTGAACCAATTTGCAGTCCTACTATTTGGCGTACGATATCTTGTTTACATGACAGAAAATGTATGGCGGGCCGAGTGATTTTCGCTCAAGCGTCATCTAATTCGTAAATTAAATGCACTATGTAGATTTTTAATAGGAGGATGTTTAGAGAATATTATTTTATGATTATGATTTTATTTTTATGACGCTACTTCTCATTTACAATGTAGCCAGTGCCAATTTTAGATAGTCGACGCATAAAGCTAAATGAATTTTATATTTTTACTACTAAAAAGAACATAAGCAAAAGATGATGAATGAACAGAAGTAAAGGCGCTATGTAACTTTTCATAGAAAGATGAGATGAGTAAGAAAAAATTTTGAAGTGAAAACTTCTTTAGCGGCATTGTACACTTTTTTTGTATGGGTAAAAATGTTAAACTCGCGTCAGGAAACGTGGACTGATCGCGTCATGACACGTTACCTGATCGGGGTCTGATGAAAACAATAAAATTAGAAAAGTTGTTGACTTTCAATATATCGGACGAAACATAGTAATATTTAATTTTATCGTATTTTAATAATAAGTCTCTGTCTAGGCCGTCCAGGTGGCAGCTTCATTGCGAAGAAAATGCATTTTTTAACAATAGATGTCGCTAAGTGCTCTTAAACGTGATTCATGTAAGTTGATTTTTCTGACAGATAAACTTTTTTAATGTAATATAAATTGTCATGTTTGTGTACGAGGGCCCAATAAATAAATATTGTATTCTACCACATAAATGATAGTACTTTAATACTGATAATTAAAGCAATTCGTGCAAAATTATCTCCTAACCATTCCAAAATATCAAAAATGCACAACGTTAACATTCAAGTTTTCACTTCTGCCGGCACTCCTTCTCATTTACCTACAATGAGTTATATTTTTTTGTGAAAAAAAAAACTTTGTTCCTCGTTTCTGTGAAGTTACTAAAGTGGCGTTTGAACGATTTTAGATATTTCACTATCGATATGCAATTACGAGCTCTACGTTGTTTATAATAATACTAGTTGACCCAGCGAACTTCGTACCACCATAAAAAAAAATAGGGGTTGGTGGTAGAAGGGCGAAAATTTATTTTTGTATGATGTATCATAAAAAAATAAAAGATTATCTAAAATTAAAAAGAAAATTAGGGGTGATTACCCTTAACATTTAGGGGGATGAAAAATAGATGTTGTCCGATTCTCAGACCTACTGAATATGCATATAAAATTTCACGAAAATCGGTCGAGCGGTTTCGGATGAGTTTAACCACAAACACCGCGACACGAGAATTTTATATAAAAAAAAAAATTCAAAATTCAATATCGTTTATTCAGTCTAGGCTGTTACAAGCACTTGTGAATGTCGAAAAGCTACGCCATCGGTTCGCAAATCTACGGCGGGAGACCTTGTACTGAGAAGAACCGGCAAGAAACTCAGCAAGGGTTGCTTTTTTCTCCCTGTTTTATTTCATACAGTGTCGTCCAATTGAAAGTTGACATCAAACTTGCAAACATGTGTTGAGGTCAACTTCCATCACATAATGTCAAATATTTAACAATAGACAATCAACGAATTTACTAACAATAAGTGCAAAGATAAGTCCCAAAATAGCAAGAAACAATTTTCAAAACAAAATGAACAAGTATATGAAAGGGAGTAAGTGCAATGTTCTCTTTAAAACTCTTTCTAAGGCTGGGAGCCTTAGTTTTAATATAACTTTTGAAAAATTATCTACAGGTAAAATTACAACCAGGCCGTTTTATCATTCAAATATTGATTGACAGTATAATATCCTTTCTTAAGTAAACAATTCTTAATGTGTATTTATATTTATGAGGAGGCAAATATATTAGATATAAGTTATTTACGGAATTCTTATCATGTACCTTGTTTTTGAGTTTCCGATATTTCGGCACTGTTGCAAGCGCCATGATCATGGAGTTACTCCGTGCAACTGTTGCAAGTGCCAAAATATCGGAAACTCGCTAAAAACAAGGTAAAAATCTCTTAAATAACATATATTAATATAATGTTAGTGACCATGAAAGTTTAAAACGATCTTCGTTGTTTAGTTGTAATGGCACATGCTGTCTTTTTTCACCAGTGCCCCAAGCACGAACTATGAGAGATCAGTACCCCTAGCACGAACCAATATCGAATTCGTATCGTTTGCGAGTCCGAAATGTCATTGTCAAATGTGTATTGATTTTTAGTTGTCGTTACGTACTTTGTGCCGCTGCTGTTCAGGTTTCCATACAAAATTTGACATTGACATTTCGGTTTGCAAACTATTCGAATTCGATAATAGTTCGTGCTAGGGGTACTGTATTCGTATTGCCATCGTCAAAGTTTCTATGCCCGCGCACATGATCCCTTCATTCTACAATCTGAGGTCCTTTAAAAGAAGCTCGAGTGAAGAAGCATTTCTGCATGCCGGCAAGGTGAAGATGGTTGGTGCGGCAGTTTATTACCGCTGTACCAGCTATCTTTGTGTCCGGATTCTACCACCACTTAACATCAAGAGTAGAGTCATTTGCCTACCTAGCTATAAAAAAAACTTCTTGGCTGGACAAACAACCTGGTGCGTCTTTCAGAGCGCTGAAGAACTGCTTTAGATCATCCATTAATGATTTTGGAGTACAAAAAATGAAGCCTGTTATTCTTAGGTCACACATCCAGAAAATAGCCTTTGTTGAAGGCGCTTAACCTTGGCAATCGCAAATCCACTGCATTCATCGCTGCTCCATCAAACTCGTGATGTAAAAATGATTCGTGATAACCATAACATTATAGTTAACATTTGTTTCAAATGACTGACCGACCTAGAATCTGGATAGTTTGGCAAAAATGAAGGTTTTTTTAAAAAGTTTATTTGTCGAACATGTTTCGTTGGCACTGGCTCGGGTACAAACCGTGCCTTTACCCGACGAAAACGGTACGGTACGGCCACGGTAATATTATCTATACAGTATTGTGACTCGGCCCTGTCCTTGAAATAACTGCCTACGGCCGAGCGGGGCGTGGACACGCGGTAGGGCTGCCCGTCTACAGTATTTTAATTTCATCTACTTTATTGAGTTTCTTTCTAGTTTTGTGATTGAAAATATTCTATTTTATATGTAAAAAAGAAATTGTTGAGAAAAAAGTAGGAAGTGTTCAATAAAAAACAGGTTATTTTTAGGTAATATTTAATAAAAAATAATTATAGATTTGAGACAGAAAAATATTTACGCCTCGACTGAGACGTACGATAAGCTTTATTATTAAACTACTTTACAGTTGATATGTTTTTTTTAAATGATGTCCGAACTATTTCCACCATTTTTTCTACATATTCCAAGAAATCATTACTAGGTACTATTAAAAAAGATTGTAAATTATTCTTACTATAGTGTAGGTATCTACTTTATTCAATCAAATATTCACAGTTCAAATCGCACGTTTAAGCACGGCTAACTGCATAAAAAACAATTCACACCGTTCAGTCGTCGCTGCGGCGCATTCGCGTAGGTATGACACGATTTCCGACCGTTTGTATGAAGATAGAATACTGTATAGATAATATTACCATGGTACGGCACTGTTTTAAACCGTGTCTACGTCCGGTCACCAGTAGGTAATGTATGGGACATTCTTGAGCATTGTTAGCGACACCGGTGAAAAATGCCTCGTTAAGAAGCACCTTTATGGTCTCACCACGGCTATGGACTATAAAATATACTTGTTTCTTTTTCAGAAGTTTGTCGACAACAGCGCGTGTGGCTGCACTGGCGATGGGAGTAGCGGTCGCCATGGCAACCATGACTGCAGCCTCCGCAAAAACGTACACTCCTCCACCAGAAATTGGCTATCCTGCTGGTTATCTGCCTGACTGTAAGCTTACCAACATTTATCTCAGCTAATATTATAATAACGAGGAAATAATTTTATGTCTGTAACCAATAAATAAACTAAAAAAAACCTACCTTCGAGACCGATTTCAAAAAATCTTTTATAATTTTGAGAGCGTTTAATCTCAAACTCTTTATTTGCAATCAAAGTGTTACATACCGTTTTTAAACATGATACATAGCATCTCATGACTTAGGCCCGTATTACAGAATGACAACTAAGTGCTAAGTGTCGATCTTTACTTAAGCACAGTTAGAAAGGGATGGTGCTATGTGCTATACAGAGCGACGTCCCTTTCTACTAACTATGCTCAAGACTAGATCAATCACTGAGAATCTTTTTATAATACGGGCCTTAGTCGCCTTGCACAGGTATAACAAATAATAGATTATTAAACATTTATTATTATGAAAATATAAAATAATTGTATAAAATTTAATTCAGTTTGGAAGATACCTTCATTTAATCATCATTTAACAAAAAATAAATAAAAAGACAAATTCATTAAAATTATTCAAGTATTCTTCGACAGAATAGAAGCATTCATCAGTTAAATATTTTTAAAATTTCCTATGAATTGTAGGCTGTTCTTGATCATCCCGTATTTGTGATGGTAATTTATTAAATATTTTTGGAGCTATATGATAAGGACTGGTGTTTAGCATCCTTATGCGTGAAGAAGGTGTATACAGCCTGTTTTTGTTTCAAATGCTTATATTATGTGTGTCTTGTACACGGAAAACTAATTGCGATGTTTAAAAATGAACAGGCAATTATCTCGTATGTAAAGCGATAAAACACCATTTGAATATAAATGATAAAAAAGATTTATCTTGGTTTTATAGGCTATATTTTATCGCGTTAAAAAGTTCTACCGTTCATTGGAATTATTTGGAAATTATACAATATGGGGCAAGAAAATTGTCCTGTCCTGCGTCGTACTGATCACCAAGAAGAGTGCTTGTGTCGCCGGTGATGGCCTTGTGCAGTAGCCAGCGGTCTACTTCGGCATCAATGCTTTAATACCGAAGCACCTTGGCAGTGGTATAGGGCTCTCGGATGTCCGGTATGAGAAGCCCACATACAATCCTGCTTGGTCGGTCGATCTGTCTCTGAACAGCCAAGTTTTCCACCCCTGTCATCTTCAGTGTCCCCATCGTCCTCTTCAACCACTCCAGTGACTGGGGTGTTCTGCACCAGAGGCTTAAGGCTCTGTCTGCGATCAGGGTTTCCCCCTGAGAAACAGTCCTTCGATTGTTGGGGATACAATCGCCTTCAGCGTCTCCTCAACAATTGCCTCTTTTAGCGCCGTAAGGCTTTCTCCAGCCACTGTAGTGCTGATTTGTCCGGTCTTCTTACTGGTTATCATCACCGGTAGGACAGTTTTGGCAGCAACTGTAAATGAAGGCCTCCCCGGGTCCTGGCGCGGTGCTTCCAATCTGGGCTTCTTGTGCTGCTCCCTCGGTGATAGCGTGTCATCACGCCTAGGCCGTGTCGAGACGCCAATCGAGAATAAATTCTGCTTGTGAGAGAATGTCTGTAAACGTTACGATAATCAATTTTTGCTTCACAGAAATGACATGTTTTCAGTGTGAGTAAGAGCGTGCCAGTTATAACTTACTTTGTGTTAGTAATGACTTATTGTTACCTTCATTATTGTAGTGATATTTTATTTTACTTGTGTAGGAATGACTGCTTATATAAGTCGCGGCACCGAACTTTAGGGCTGACTGTTAGTGCGCGAAAGTAAAAATTAAGATGTGTTGGGGGGAAACGAGGTGCGCGGGTGGGCGTGCGTTGCGCCGATTGGCTCTCCAGTCGTACCCATGCGCAGCTATCCCCTCCGCGTTTTGTTCAGTGCTAGAGTTACATGCCGCGACCTGTATTAGATGGGTGAGCAATAAAATAAAATCTCAGAAGGGGAGAAAACTATTATGTTATCATTAGGATAGGAACTTAAAATTGTAGACGAACTCATAGAAATATTGCAAAGCAATGCTTTGTTATAGTATCTTTGTAGCGAAGCGGTTAGTGCGATCGGTGTGCGATCCTATGATCGCTGATGAACAACAAAGTGACAAAAATTCTATTATCCTGATTTCCTTCGTGCTTTAAAATGTTGGCTAAGCTGTTGGTCCCTCCTGCATCTACGACGATAGCCGTGTTCGTAGAGGGGGATCGAATAAATAACAATTAGCTTGACGTTATATTTTACAGTATAAATATGAAACTGTAACAAAATAGGCATACAGTTAAAAGTAACAATAGTAACATAAACGCACAAATTACGTAAGGAATACAGTAAATCTTACTCCGTGTTGGGTTTGTAGTACCTCGTTTTTATTATTTATAACTGACGAAAAAAAACGGAGGTTCTCAAGTCGATGAGTATTTTTTTTCATGTGTGACCACGCAAAATTTTTTACAGAGGAGGCCGATTTTGATAACTGTTTTTTTGTTTGTTACATTATACCCCAAAGTTGATCCCATATGTATTTGAAAAGAAATATACACCGATTAAAACAGGGGATGATTGCCTGTTCACTCACAGATTTTGATGCCGAATTGAATATTACAAAAATTATAAGCAGAACAAATTGTAAAATAAAATCTTTTTTAACAAAAATATTATACCATACCATTTTTAGCTTTTAGTCAAATTAATATTTGGAGTCGGTGCCATGCAGGTCTGACAGATCTGAGTTCTCATTACTTGGGTTAGCCTGGCTCTGGCACCGAATCGAAATATTAATTTGAATATAAGATAAAAAAGGTTTATTATTTTTTACTTTTCGGCAGTTTGACGGGTATTATAAATACATGTGCTATTTTGTTTCACATTTCACGAGTTGGATATCCGGTTTTTGCAGGCAAGTTTTTTGAAAACTGAGAATGCAGTTCTACTTATTATTAAAAATAAAATGATGTCTTCTTTTACTAAAATATCCTATCTTCAATATTTAATATACTTTCCCTCGGTGTGACAAACCCGTGGAAAGCCCTGTATATGAATAGGCTAATTATAGTATCAGCATTGGAGTGGAATATCATCAAAATGTCTTCAAATTTCTATTAGTAACTTTCCGCTATTCCTATTTCAAAATGAAATAGATTTTTTTAACGACTTTTAATTTATTTACGACCCGTTTCTTCTTCCAATGATTTAAAATCCAAATTAACCATAAGTCTCGTCTATACCTCCAGTCGTTTTTCAAAATAGAATAATTGATGTATTTTTTAGACTTTAATTTGTTATCACACTAATATTATTAAGGCGAAAGTTTGTGAGTGTGTGTATGTTTGTTACTTCTTCACGTCTAAACGGCTGGAGCGATCTTAATAATGTATGGATTTAGCTGACTAGCGTTTAACTGCGGGAAAATATCCCAAATAAACCGCGAGTAACACCGCAGGGCACAGCTAGTTTCTTTATAAAGGAGACGAAAGACAGTGTGTAGGGTAGGCTTGTCAAAATAAATTTATGTTATGGTCCTATGGAGTGACACATTAAGCAAATAGATTTAGTTCTTTATTTCTTTATGGCGTTCAGGCCTTGTAACGAATTCTATGTACATTAGTAGTACATGAAACCGCTTCTGTGCTAGATATGGACTGGTTGTCCATAGGGCTGTTGACATTGACTGTATAACTAGGTTGTTCTTTGACTAATAGCTTATTTTATTGTACCTAATAGTTTTACATCGAGCTCTTCCATAATTATGAACTAGTGACTCGCCTTCACTTCACTTCTGTGGAGGCTATAATATTATACTTATTGTTCCCTTATATCATTTTGTTCTTAAATAACATTTAGATTGAATCTAAATAAAATATAACTAGAAAACTTCCACGTGGACCAGGCAGCAGACGGGACTCGAACCCGCACCCTTCGCAATCCGGGCGAATGCACTGAACAATTATGCTACCGCGGCCCTCACGGACTGCGTCGAAATTCCTCTAGCCATTCTTAAGCTGCAAAGCAGCGCCAAATGAATACTTTTACAAGTATTAAACATTTGAAAAAAGGAATAGAAATTATTTATAATTTTAATTTTTAAAAGCATGTAACTGCTTGATATTTAAATCTAAAGAAAATATAACTAGAAATTCTATATTAGAGCTGTAAAATTGAATAAAAAATAGGTAATTGACATGGGTGACCGGGGCAAATTCGTTTTTACCACTTAATTGTTCTCGTGAGTACTCAAAATCTGACATACTCGATTTCCATACAATTTGAAGTACATGCGGCGTCTACTTCAATGTAGATCTGTGTGAGTTAAGAGCCCTTTCACATTTTATGCAAAAATCGTAATTTTTAAGCGTCTGGTTTACCCCCTCAGAAAAGATGTTGACTATTTCCAATTGTAGTAAACAGTAGATTTATTCTTTCTATTGTAAGTTACTGTAGAATATTTGCAAACACTATTTTCGTTTTTTTTGTACTGATCGTTCTACTGCAGCTAGTTTACGGAAAAAACGATAATATGCACAAATGCAATCTTTCAATAATGTTCAATAAATTAGATCAAATTAATTACTACGACATCAGGAATATGTTTTTGTTGCAACATAATGTTTTAGAATTTTGATTTTCCATCTCATTGATTATCAAAAAAAAAACATCTAACCTCCGTGAGTTTTCCCAAAAAATATTGCTGGTTTAACTCGTGTTTTAATATAGAATCAAATAGAAATACTATCAAAAACTTTCATAAAACTAATCTACCATCATTGAACTACTGAAATATGTATATATATTTATAATTAATTCTTTAATAATTATTTTATAAGAATCGAAACATCACCCTTAAAATGCAATATATACTAGTGCAAATCTACCTACGCGCCGATCAGTACGGCAGCGGCGCAATTTTGTAAAAGGGCTCTTAAGCATTTAACCACTGTGTATTTTATGCCGAAGTAATAGCACATTTAGGTAAATAAATAAATGTTGTAAATTGCGAATACGATATTACTTT